CAACTAATTGTTTACCACATTTATTATATAATACTGGCTGATTTGATTGAAAGTTCGTTGTTTCATTATATATATATATATATATATAAGCATTGTTTTTTCTTACATTTTTTTATATTTTTTATGGCTGCCATATTAGTCGTTCTTTACCTTAGTTGTTAATGTTTTAAATATCACTATGACTATGATTTTTCTGAGTGTTGCTAAAGCTAAAAAAAATTAGCAACAATTGATATACAATTAGCAACCGTTGGATTAGACTTATTGTCCATACATTGGTTAAACAACAATTTTAATCAGTTGTTGTTAAAAGAATACTTTATGCAACAATTGGATAAGAAATTTGCGACAGTTGGATAAAATCTGTTGCCAATTCCTAAATTAACAACACTGTATTCAATTGTTGTTAAATTTTGGTTTTTGGCAACAACTAATTGTAACTGTGATCAATCGACTGTTGCCAAAGTCCAATTTTCTTGTGGTGTTTGTACCTTGAATCCCAAAATATAATCCTTTAATTTTTATTATCAAAACAAAAAGTTATTTCTCAAATTAGTTGATCCACTTTTGTATTTAAATTATGGTAATACAGTAATTCTAATTTATGGATTACCGTTAAGAAGTGTTCTAGCTCCTACTTTGATTTATTATTTTTAGTAGCATTATAGTCATTTATTTGGAATTTTGAACAAATAGAAACTTGATTAATTCTATGAGAAATTACATAATTTTAGAAGGAACGATATAGTATGTTACTTTGCACAATTAGTCACATAGTGGGTTAGCGTAGGGCGATGAATGAATCAACTTTCCATGTGCTCTCATAATGGTTAATTTAAAATTTTGAAACCATTATTGTATCTAAGGTTCAATTTGGAAAGAGTACAAATGCAAATATGTACCGTACAAATACATAAAAAATCATACAAAATACAAGATTTTGCACTCTACATATTTGTATTTGTACTCCTTCCAAATGGATTCTAAGGAATGAGGATCTTAATTTAGATCTAGAAATTGGTATAAAACCTATTCTCATTGAGAAAATATATTAGGATGAATTTGGAGTGGTGGCTTGGTGAAAGTGTTAGTGTTGAAAAAGAACAACCACTCAAAACATTCATTCCATTGGAGCAATAAAACCATGCTAGTAGTTTGCTTCTAGCACAACTTTGGAGTTTTTTTCATAATTAAAGCAAATTGTAATAAGTAAGTATACTTTAACAACCAAAACTAATATCAATCAAAGCTCATAAAATTGATAGTCAATATGATTCCATTCCAACTTAGTGATCTAAAGTCACCTTAACTACATTGGTAACATAAATTAACTGCCATACTTTATGAGCATACATTTGAAAATCTACTACTTTAAAACCACTACCATTATGACAAAAACTATATGCTTCTCAAACCGCTTTCACAAAGTTGCCCTCTAATATTGATATTTCCTTCTCAAATTGTTCTAGAACCTCTCTCTTTAATCCACTTTCTTATACTGGGTTCATTTATCCATCTATTTGTTGCATGTGCCAATTCAAATACCTCATCAAAATTATAAGGGATACCCCATCCAAAATAGTTATATTTTCTACTTGCATAGATGAAGTACATCTTGTCTTTTATTATCATCTTGACTGGATATCTTTGGTGTAACGTTTGGCTTGTGTGGACATTTGCAATGATGGTTCATATATTTCATTACACATGCTTTAGAACTTGAAGAAATTTGACTTGTAGGCACCACTTAGCAAATATTCTTACCTGTTATGCAAAATAAAAAAGAATAAAATACAATTTAAATCTTAAATACGAATATCTTCTACAAATGCCACATATCAGACTAGCATATGCATTGTTGTTTATTTCCAGTTTAACTATTCAAGTTTTAGTTGGATTAGATAAAACAACCATGGATTTACTAACAGACCTAGTAACTAATAAACAATAGTTTTGCCTATTTTATATACTCATACATTATTTTCTTCTTGGCACAAAACTTTCTAAACATGATGTTGGATGGATAGGAAGCAAATGTTTTTTAGAGCACTATGATTAAAAGTCCCTATCTCCACTTCTAGAGCAATGTTTCTCAGAGCACTTGTCTAAATAAAGTCAATGTATGAGAACTCTCAGTTGTTTGGAGATATGCACCTAACTAGTGGATCTGTTGTTCTCTGAGTTGAGATTAATGTAAATCTTGGGCACATATGTTTCAATGTAGATATTGGTGTTGGTTGGTTTGTGAGCCATCCAATTAACCAGTCTAGCATTTCCATTCAGAATTAAAAAAAGAAGAAATAAGCGAAATGAGTGTTATCCATTAAAGAAATAAGAACAAGAGACGTCTCAAATCCAACAAAAAAAACTTAGGGAAATTGGCTTACTAGTACCCTATGCCTTCAACTAGAAACAAATAGGGGGAATAAGGTAGAAGTATAAATTAAACGGAGAACTTAGAGAAGTTTTGAAAGGCTTACATGTAATAACACCAACGAGAGTAGAATGGCGGTAGTTGCAAATGCTAGGGATAATAGGATTCCAATAAGTTGAAAATCGGATTACAAGTTGGGAAGATAAGATTCAGAGAAGTGATTAGGGTTTCAAAGTTTTAAATGGTGAGTAGTGTTCAGAGATAAAGAGAGAAAAGTTTAGAGATGTAGAGAGAGAATAAGGTTCAGAATACATTCCAAAATGCATAGTTAGAGAGCAGTTCAATGAAATCAATATGAAACTCCCAAGTGATATAAAATATTAACTTAAAAATAAAACATACTTTTAGAGAGCATAAAATCTTTTTCATTAAAAGACTCACCTGTAGTAGCTTCAATGAGAGCAATACGATGGTAGTTGTGAATGTTGGAAATAATCGGATTACAAGTTTGGAAGATACGGTTAAGAGAAGTGGTTAGGGTTTTAAATTTTTAAACGGTGAACAGTGTTCAAAGATAAAGAGAGAGAAATTCAGAGACATAGAGAGAGAATGAAGTTTAGATAAGAATAAAGGAGAAATGAGGAGATGGTGATTAAGATTTCAAAGATAAACAGTATTTGAAGACAAAGACGGGGTTTAGAGACGAAGAAGAGAATACTATTTCTGAAATTGAGTTTGAAACTTTTTTGGAAGTTAACGGTGGGGCTTAACACCCCTCCATTAGTTCCCCACACATGTCAAAGTGTTTTGCGTGTGTATGGACAGGTGTTATCTTCTCATGCGGTGGTCAGTTATGTGGTCATACAAGCGTGGTTAGCAGATCCGGACTCATCCTCCATGTCTCTTCACCTTCCATAACCGTCTTTGTGATGGCATGGAAATTAATTCAAAGATTTTAGCAAGAAACCATGAGATAAAAAAACTTGAATTTACAAGATCAGGTCATAGCTTTTAACGGATCAACTGAAAGCTTGAACTCCTCGATTAGAATATGGGAAACCTAAAGCCGCCAAGGAACATGACAAAGTTGTACCTAGAGGAGCCTCAAATTCTTCGGAGTTCTGAAGCAAAAGAAGATTGTTTCGTTCCTTCTCGCGCTTCCGCATCTTGAGAAATAAAGCGAGCTCCTCATCCTTCTCCTTCATTATAGTCTCGAGACTCCTCATGTGTTGTCTCTGTTGTAAGGACGCCTGCATTTGCAATTCCTGAGCCTGAAAGCTGTGATTCATACCCAAAGTTCTAAACACAAGCCTCAGCGAAAGAAACGAGTAAAAAAGAGAAATCTCCCACCTAAAACCTAGCTTCTCATCTACTCCTCCGAATAAAACCGCCTCCACCCAAAACGAAAAACCCTCAAATTTCGTAAACCGCCAAAACAAGAGCAACAAATCTCAAATCTAGTTTCAAAATTGTAAACAACAACATAGAAACTGGCAGGGAACAAAACGACATTTCGCGTTGTCTTAACAATCAAATCTTTCTTTTCTTTTTGATCTCTGCCGAGTTTACACTTGCCCTACCACGTCAGTCCCCACGCCGTTCGATTTCCTAAGGAAACCATTTGCATGGACCAACCGCCATTTTTGCAGAAACAAAGAGATCTGAAGCAAAGCTTGAGGTCTTTTACAGATCAAGTGTGATAAAAGTTAAAACAAAAGTGAATGGATTTTGTATTATTTGCTTTCTTGTCGCTTGGAGAGTGAGATGAAAAACCATGAGAAATTATAGGGAGAGAACAAAGCAAGAATAGAATCCCATTTTAATTTTGATTTCCTTTGACAGGACAGGACGACGGAGACAAAGACGAATGGGAAATGAAGACGAAGTCCAAGATGGAAAATAGAGACAGAGACGAAGGTTGAGATGGAGCGAAATCATAAACAGGTATTTTAAGAATTTAAAAAATATATGAATCACATATAAACGAAGTGTGACGAAAAATTAATGGTAAAAGAAATTTTAAACAATTGTCACAGTATATAAACGCAAAGGTGAATTAGTCCATGAGCTAAACCATAAAGGCCCTTTAGGCTCAGTTTGGAAAAAGTACAAATATAAATATATATAATATAAATAAATATAAAATAATATAAAATACAAGATTTTGCATATATACTCCTTTCAAACTAAGTCTTATATATATAACATAAATATGTATAAAATAATATAATCTATAAGTTTTACACTCTATATATTTGCATTTATACTCTTTCCAAACTCAGTCATACTAAATTTCGACCATCTTTAACGCCAAAGTTCGAGGGCTCCCAGCCCATTAGACATGCGGATGTTAGTTATGGAGGCCCAAGATCAAAGCCCAAGGGTGGCTAAAGATTCAAAGAGAAGGGCCGGCCCGCCAAACACACTTTTCTTTCTTTCTTGGGAGAAAAGCTAAGTAACTAACGGGGCATGACCATCGAATTGACCATATGCTGGCACTACGGAATGACCCCATGGCAGTTTATTGTACGACAAGTCATGCTCGGTTGTATTTTAAAGATTACCTGTACCTGACCAATAATGACCGTGGTGATAGCATTTCACATACTCTATTTAATCCGTTTTCAAGCCAAACAAGACAAGCTGCCGAGTTCTGATTTCTGTCACTGTAAGTCCGTAACCCCCCTCCCCCCCGCTACCGAGTACGCAGCAGGGAAAGAGAGAGACGAAGTGAAGCTCCAAATCTGATCCAAATCCAAAAGCCCTGAAGAAGGTTAACTGAAGGGAGAGATCGTTTGTTATCATAAAAGAAGAAGAGAGAAGATGGCGGGAATTGGTCCCTTGACGCAGGACTGGGAGCCGGTGGTGATCCGGAAGAAGGCTCCTACCGCTGCTGCCAAGAAGGACGAGAAGGCCGTTAACGCCGCTCGTCGTATGGGCGCCGAGATTGAAACCGTCAAGAAGTGTACGCTTCCAGCTCTCTTTTTACCTGATTAGGGTTTCTGATCTCGTTCTTCACTCTCCATCTTTCCGTATCAATAACCATGTCTGGGGTTTTCGATTGCTGTAGTTTCTCGTTTTAGGGTTTCCTTTGTTGTCATTATTGATTCATTAATAGGTTCCTATAAGTTGATGTGTATTAGTGTGGCCATGCCGTGCAAATTTCTAAGCTGCAGTTTGGCCTTTTTATTGCAATTGAATGAAGTAGTGGGCGTACATAAAGAGGGATCGATGGATAAGAGACTATTGATTATCTGATCAAGACTTGATTCTTTATCTTGATTTATAAATGGAAATTATTTTACTTTATTTTTTTCGGGGGGAGGAGGGTCTGGATTTTGAAATCTATAGTTATGTGTTTATGGAATACAAGACGAGTCATATCTCTCTATAATGTAGAACTTGGGTTTTGGTTGCTATTTGTATCTTGGTTCCAGTACTAAAACCAAGATAAGAAGTGGGGGTACAGAAATGAAAATATGATTTATATAATTGAGGATGCTGATGCTGATGCTGTGAAGGTTGAAATAGGCAAGTCCACTGTCAGCTTTGGACGTGTTTGATCACTTTCCGTTCTAAAAGGAATAAGGCATAAAAACACTTAGGTGTTAGAAGAATGCATAGAATTAATTTTTATTTAAGATGGCCATTGACTATGAAATCTATAAATTAGATAATTGATAAATTTGTCAGGTGATATTCATTGGAAAGAAATTGAATGGGCAATCTTATATGAAAATTTGCATCATATGTTCAGGCATGTCTCTGTTACATTTTGCGTTTTGTCTATATCTACATTAAGACACCACAGTACTAGAATTGTTATATGTTGCATGTTAAGTATTGTTTTCAACTATTTCCGTTTTCAAGTTGAGGTTGTTTTTGATCCGTACATTGAGCAAGCACTTCCTCATAAAGTTGTACAATGGGTATTAGTTCTTAGCTTCTTTGAGTGGGAATTGGGAAATCTATTTAGCAATGAAAACTTGATCCTTGGTTGAGAGTTTTTTAACTTCTTTTATGAATATTTTGATATGGAACATGAACTGTGTTAAATCATCACTTAACTTGATTTTTTTACCTTCAATGTGGCATCAATGAACAATTTCATTCTTATGTTGAATGAAGAACTTGCTTAACAATGAAGCATTGAATGAAGCTAGGACATTAAATAATATCTATCAAAAAATGCTGAATTAAATAAGAATAATGAAGTAATTTATGATGTGCAATTTCACTTGCTTCTAAGTTTTTTTTTTTTTTTTCATATTCAAAACAGTCAGTCCAAAAAGCATTGTTTTTTTTATGACTGTTACTATTTAGACAATAAGCTCCAAGGAGATGCATCAAGGTTCCAAAAGTTAGTTTTTGAGACCTGAATTGGGTAATGCTGAAATCAAGATGGGATGACTCCATGAGTATCTTGGTTAAGCTAGTGCAAAATTTATGTTTAATTTAAGGGAAAATTTCTTAAAGTATCCCTATGGTTTAGGAAATTGACTAACTCTACCCTTACTGTTTACGTATTGTCTTAAAGTACTCCCAAGTTTTCTGACAATTGTTATTGCCGTTAAGCACTAAGGCTATGTTTGGTTTGAAGGAAAAGGTAAGGAAAGGAAGGGAAAGACAGGGAAACCTATACAGGGTTTGTAAAGGTTTCCTTATCTTTCCCTTCTTTTTTTTTTTTGATAATTGTCCTTATCTTTCCCTTCTTTTCCCTGCACTTTCTTTCAAACCAAACATAGCCTAAAGGAAAAAAGCGAAATGTCGAAGTATACTTGCTTATCTCCCAAGAAACAATGATAAGTGTCTTAGGCGGCCTGGCCCTGAGGTGACTAACTCTACTAACCAAAAATAAGATCAAATTGAGATGGTTTAAGACAATATGTAAACAATAAGGGTGGTTTAAGACAATATGTTAACAGTAAGTTCAAATTGAGATGGCTCATGGCTGAAGTATACTTGTCTTTGTTTTGAAAATCCTGAGGTGCGTCAGTGTCTTTCTAAACATTTGTTGGAGACCAGTATTGCACATAAGTCTGTGATGTGATTTGGTTAACGTAGCTGTGGTACTCTCCAAGGTTCAAAGTATCAATACACCCCAATACGGCAGAAGTGGTGTACTGGTACTTGGTACCACACACATTACCTTTTTTTCAAGTTTTTTATTTCAAAAATATGGCAGGGAGAAGGTTAAACATCGTTTAATGTATAAAATAAGGGGTTTTGGGATTAGCCTTAAAAAAGTGTTTTGGCACCCTGTCAGTAACTCGTTGTGGTACAATACACCAAATACAGGGCCATATTGTGTTGATACTTTGAACCTTGATACTCTCTGCCTATCCTTCAAAATTATACCCATACCAATGCCTTGACACTGATCTTGGTTTGAAATTCATGTACATATGCGGATAATTAGTTTGAGCTGAACACTATTTAATCTGTCTGAACATTTCTACATGCAATTGCTGAAAATCCCTCTTGCATAGTCATTGGATTCCTATATTAAACATCATTATTACTATTACCTTTTAACGATGAGAATATTGATCAATTGTTTGATATTTGCAGTTGTTTTTATTATTTGTTTGGGCGTCTTTCATAGAAATAATGGTGGATCTTTCACTGCCAAAGCTTATGCTTGTTTATTATCTACTTTTCTCCTACAGCTAATGCGGGGACAAACAGGTCTGCCTCTAGCAGCACTTCTCTAAACACAAGGAAGTTGGATGATGAGACTGAGAATCTTGCTCGTGAGTACTTGAATGCCCTATATGAGCAGTGGCAGTGCTACAATGCTACAATTTCTTCAATTTACATCTAGTGCATTTGTTTGATTGATTGATTGATCATTATCATTTTTGCTGAACTGAATAATATCTCTGATGTTTGAAAGTTCTGGTTAAAAGATCTTTAAGGCATTCCAGTGGATGACTATGCATAACAGGACTTTTCTTTGATCCATTGTAGACTGTGGCTGTGGTTATTTGGTTAGCTGCCATAACTAGTGGTGGTAAAGGTGAATATGCATTCCTTGTAACTCGATACAAACCACTCTTATTTAGGGAAAGAAATATATATCATAGGTAATAAGTAGCAAATACTTGACCGCCCACCCCTAAAAAAAATAATAAAATATAAATAAATATAAAAAGCTTACGTACACACAGCTATGTCAGATAGATCTATGATTCCTCTATCATGATAAGCACCTTTGTCTCATTTACATGGATATTTCTACTTCCAAATGAAGCTCAGAACTAGGGATTCTTGGTTGCCTTCTAGAAAGTAGGATGGTGAATGCCATTGATCCTTATCTTGTAAGAAGTTGACAGTATTAAAAATTAAAAATAAGCCGGGCACATGTTTGTTGTGATACATTAGAAAAGAAGGCATTCGAAAAGCAAAATCAAGATTATGTTTGAAACAGCTGACTGTGCAATAAATTGGATTTCAATTCTCTTGTCAGAGTCCATATTATATTGTTTCTAACAATAAATTTTTATTTAAGTGATCCTTGTTATGATATTATGATGCTATCTTTTACTTCGGCTCAGAACCTCAGATCATGTGATGTAATGTACGTATGTGATGCATACATACGAGTAATGATTAATCTGGTCAAGAATGCAATTGGGTAAAACACTGGTTTAAGAATGAAACATGCATGCTATTTTGACGCACTTGCATTAGGGGTCAGTGTAATATTTCCCGAGGTAACTTTGAAAAACTTTTTAGTTTTAGTCATTACTGTGGCAACATGTATGTGAGGTCTCGTTTTATTTTGATGCAGATGAGCGTGTACCTACTGAACTAAAGAAATGCATCATGCAAGCTCGAATGGACAAGAAATTCACTCAGGCCCAGCTTGCACAGGTCTCTCTCTCTCTCTCTCTCTGTGCTGCACATTTGCATGTACAATAGACACTTGTGTTTGTAAATTGTTGTCCTGAAGAAAGAAAAAGAAGCTGAACCCTGTGATTCTTTTGTGCAGATGATTAATGAGAAGCCCCAAGTAATTCAAGAGTATGAATCTGGGAAAGCCATTCCAAATCAACAGATAATTACCAAGCTGGAGAGGGCTCTCGGTGTGAAACTGCGGGGAAAGAAGTAAAGGAGTACGTAGGGGAGAGCGGGGAACAAGCTGTTGAGTGTAGGTGTGGTTGTGGCTGGATGCGACTTTCTTGTGTAGTTAAGGTGCCTTCACCGTCGTTTAGGCATGTCTGTAAGGAAGATCTCTGTTGTGGCTTTGTGAGACCAAATCAAATGTATTGTCCAATCTTCACTTGGCTTCTTTCGACCTACGTTTGCTGTTTCTCCTTTCGCGCCTGGACAATGTCAAATGTGTTCTTAACTTTCTTAGTCTTTTGGTACTTGGAAAAATTTATCTATGAATAAAGTAATAGCAAGGTCGAAAAATTTTCTCTGTTGCTGCTATGGTATTCCAGATTAGTTCGATGGTTAACTTTGATTTATTTCCCCGGAAGCATTATTTTCGCCAAATCTGCTAGACCTCAAGCACTTGAAATTTCCTTATTATACCGTATTAAACAATTGGTCTCCAGTTTATCTTTAACCTTTTATTAAGGTTTAAAGGCTGAAATGCTGTATTTTTTAAGCATGTGTAAGCAAAATTTTAATCTCGAGATTTAGGGGGTGTTTTGTAGTGTGGATGAGAAATTTGTAATGTATTTTAATTCATATTACACTTGTGTATGGATACATGCATATCACATCATAGCAGGTTAATTGTTCAAAAATGGGTGGACTGAACCAAGGTTTCAAATATTGTATTGGTTTGTGTTAGTACATTTTTTTTAGTTTTATTTTTGTACTTTTGAAATTGGTTCAGAGGGGTCAGTTTAAAGCCTGACTACCCTTTGAACTGGTGGCTGACCCAATTCAACCCCTGGAGGGGTGTATCGGTAAGCCATCGACACGATACGTATCGACCGATATGTATCGATACTTTGAACCTTGGACCGAACCATACTACACCATAGGCTTTTTGCCAAGTGTGGCGTAGTTCAATCCATACTCTTATCTTTTGATTCCATGCATTTCACTTACAATGTGTGAGATGATCTACATTGTTAATGAGTAAACAATATTCTATTTTTTAAGTAATATTATATTATACAAAAATAATATAATTTAACCATGACAATACAAGTTGGTGCATTTATATAATATGAATAATTAAGATAATTAGGGAAAAGCATTTATTAAAAAACAATAATAAACCACAAAAATAAATAAAATATTGTAAAAAATTAATAAAAATTATAAAAAGTAATTCAGTAACTTGCCAAGAGTAATATATATTTTATAAAATCAAATAATTTTATAAAAAAATTGACAATTTTTATACAAATTATATAAATTATTAAAAGGAAAGATACATGATTTTGGAATTATTGAGTTTGGGTAAAATGCACTCAACGAAATAAGGAATTATCAATTTTGGAACTAGTGGCATGAAAAGGTCTACCGTGGACAAGATTTTAAGATATGGTGTAGACCAATGTTCAAAATATCGATACGCTCGATATGCTGGTAGGGGCGTGTTAGGCCATATCGGTGCTTTTTTTATTTCTTTTCAAACCTGGTTCAGAGGGACCAGTTTAAGGCTCCTCCACCTCCTGAACCAGTCAGAACCCTGATACGCCCCTATCCCCTATAGGGGCGTATCAAAGAGCTCCAAAACAATACGTATCGACTGATATGAGCCAATACGGTAGATACTTTGAACCTTGGTGTAGATTGCTCCACAATATAGTGTGCTCTAAAAGGTGGCAGAAATCTATAAAGGGTCCTCTAGTGATCAACTAAAACTTTTGCAATCTCATCAGGCTGGACTATTTGCTCCCCATTCACCACTAGTTTGGATATGAATTTCTTATTTTAACCATTAAGTACTCTGAAAAAAAATTATTCTCATTTATTTATTTTTACATCTCTTAACCTTAACTAGTTGCATTGGGATTTCTATCCTCATGGTTTCCCCTTGTAAGAATTAATTCAAATTCTATTTTTAATTGCCATTTTATAAGTCCTTCATATTCATTCATCTCTACTTTTGCTTTTAGGGGGTGTTCTATAGCGTAGATGAGAAATTGGATAGTGTGTTTTCATCCACACCACACCCCAACAAAAGTAGTTGTTCTACACCATGGAAAAAAATGTGTGGACAAATTCACACCTCCATGCAAGGTTCAAATATTGATACACCCGACACACCGGTAGGGGCATATCGAGCAATATCGATACTGTTATTTATACTTTTTTATATTTTTTTCGAAATCAGTTCAGGGGGGCTGGTTTAAGGCTCTTCCACCCCCTGAATCGGTCAGAACCCCAATACACCCACTATAGGGGCATATCGAGGAGGTTCCGGAACGATACGTATCAGCCGATACGTGTCAATACTTTGAACCTTGCATCCATGGGTGTTCTGCAAGGTGTGGCATATTTCAGTCTACACAATTAAATAATAAAATAAAATAATAATATAGAAATTAAAATAAATAAGAACATTTTTTACATCATATATATGACATATTAAACAATGATAAGTATGATAAATAAGAAATGTTTTTATTAATGATGGAAATTGAATGTAAAATTTAAAACCAATTGAAAATAAAACTATTTTCCTTTTCTCTCTCATTAAATCTCATATGTAAGGTATATTCTCTTATTAAATGCTATAATTAAGATATATTTTTCTCATCATTAAATTCTACTAATCAAACCCACAACATTAATTTTAATAGTATAAAAATAAATATTTTGAAAAGTAATTTGAATACTAAACTATTTTCTTCCCTCCAGGTGTTGGGTAGGCTTGTTAATGATACCCAAAAATCTGAGGCCCGATCCGACATATGATCCAATTATCTCGAATTTGAATGATGTATTTATGTAATCAAATCGGATTAGGATTTAACCACATCCGATCTGATTAATATCCAACTTCGATTATATTATAATGTTTATTAATTTTAATATATAAATTTTATATAATTATATTTAAGATCATAAAAATATATTCTGTATATTATATTATATATGAATTTATATATAATAAATTTATTATGTTATATTTATATTAATTTGTTATATATAAAAGTTGAAAAATAAATATTTTTTATTTTTTTGGTATTTTGGAAAATTTATAGCGAAGTTGGATTAAATTCGAATTCAAGTCTTTAAATTCAATCAGATTTTAGATCTGATTTGGATGTAGGTTCTCAATAATCAGATTTGATTTGGATGAGTCCGATCCGATTACATCCCTAGTGGTGGGTAATCTATTCAACCATTTGGGGTTAAATGGGCTAATAAATAATGCCATAATGAAATAATAAAAAATTAAAATATATAAAATATATAATACAAAAAAATAAAAAGAATTGGACATATTTCCAATTTTGTATATTCATTATACTAAACAAAAACAACTATGAAATATAAGAAGTATTTTTATTAAAGATGAAAATGGAATGTCAAATTTAAAATCATCCTATAAATGAAAAGATATCATAGTCAAATAATAAAATTTTTAAAAATAAAAAATACAAAGAATCACAAAAATAAAAATTAGAGAAAAGTTTTGCACATATCTAATGTTATATATTTAAAAAATAAAATATTGGGTACATCTCTAATATTATACATTCATTATTTAAAAATAAAAAATGCAAAGAATCACAAAAATAAAAATTAGAGAAAAGCTTTGCACATATCTAATGTTATATATTTAAAAAAATAAAATATTGGGTACATCTCTAATATAATACATTCATTATATTGAACAAAAAGTATTACACATAAGAAATAATTTTATCAATGATGGAAATGTAATACAAAATTTAATGTCAACCTAGAAATCTAACTATTTTTCTTTTTGGGTGATGGATGGTTTAGGTTAAATGGATTAATCGATGATATGATAATTAAATAATAAATCTTTAAAAACTAAAACAGTACAAGTAATCAAAATAATATATAAAAATTATATAGTAATTATATCAAATAAAAATTAAGTGAGATAAGTAAATCTTATTTATATAATGTAGATGAAACATATAATTTAAAACTAATTTGAAAGTAAAGCTATTTTCTTATCTAAATGGTAGGTCAATTATCCAAGTTTTCAAAAAAACAAAACTCATGATGTCATAATTGAATAATAAATATTTAAAGATGGTGACCCAATATCCCCTTACCTTTTTCTCCTTTGCTCAGATGTGCTCTCTAGGATGTTTTTAAAGATAGTGCAGGAAAAGAAAATTTTTGGTGTCAAGATTAACATTAGATGTCCAATAATCTCCCATTTGTTTTTTGCAGATGACAGATCCATCTTCACCAAAGCTGATCTAGTTGTAGGTCAGATGGTTTTGGAGGCAATTAGAACTTATGAGCAAGCATCGGGACAATAGGTGAATCTAAACAAATCTGAAGCTACTTTTAGTAAAAATGTGCACTGTAGGATTCAATAGTTATTGGCTAGAAGCATGCAAATCAAGAGAACGGAAAAACCCTCTTTTTGCTTAGGTCTGTCCTCCCACTTTTGTAGATCAAAATATAAAATGTTTGAATTCCTAACTGACAAAGCGGAGAGAAAGGCCTCTAATTGGAAAAATAAGTGGTTGAGCCTAGCAGGAAAGGGGGTGTTTGTTCTCGATGCAGTCTCTGTCTACATCATGTCTTGCTTCAAGTTGCCAAGTGAGGTGTGTGAGAAACTAAAGAAGAAACAAAAGGATTTTTGGTGGGACAAGGAAAGGGATAGGAAAGGGGTTAACTGGGTTAGTTGGAAAAACCTCAATCAAAATAAACTTTCTGGTGGTTTGGGATTTAGAGACCCTGTCTCTTTTAATAAGGCCTTGCTGGCCAAGTTGGCTTGGAGGCTGGCCAAGGGTGAGGATAGTCTATCGGCTCAGGCGTTAAGAGCAAAGTATATATATTAGAAATCGATCTTTTTTAAATGATAATCTTCCTAAATCAGGTTCATGGGGTTGGAAAAGTATCCTAGTGGGTAGAGAGATTATTAAGGAAGGAGTGTGATGGTCTCTAGGCTCAAGGAGAAATATTGCAATTTGGGGAGACCCATGGATTCCTAGAATCCCAGGCTTCATAATCATAGGCCCAAAGCCAAATAACTCCAATATTTCAAAAGTTTGTGATTTGTTCATTCCAAACAGCAAGGTGTGGAACGCAAACCTAATCATCAATACCTTTATCCCTCCAATTGCCCAGAAAATTTTGGAAATCAAACCCCCCTCTCTTCGATTGGAATGACAAACAAACCTGGGACATTGATAAGAAAGGCACTTTCTCAGTTAAATCTACCTATTTTGTAACAAGTAACTTTGTTGAATCCTCAAGTTCTCAAGGCGTAAGAGATAAACAACCCCGGTCCCAGATTTGGAA